TTTTTTAGTGTGGATGAATATTATCACACCAAATTGGTGTGACTTTTGATGTTTGGTTGAAGCAAAATTTGAAAACCATTTCAGTGTTTTACACTAATTTGGTGTGTCATTGGAGATGTCCTAATGTATAAGTGTAGACTCTTTCTACTGACTAAAGAATGAGCATAAGTACAAGCGAAAATTCACATGGTGGAACATAGAGATTTTCCTGCTCGTAGATATCAAATCAAATTGAAAATAATTGCTCTCTTATATCAATTATTCTAATTAAAGACCACTACTAGTATACATGTTATATCCAAAATAAAAACATCAAAGACAACATATCACAACATTATATAGTTATATATCATGAAATAAACAAAAAAAATATTAATATTTTTGTTAAATATATTGAGCAAGATGAAAATATGTAGTAAATCTGTCGTCTTTCTATTTTAATTCGAGAATTTAAATTTTTTGAAAAGAATTTTTTTTTTTTATCAACAAAATAACATACAAAAGCACATACTTATAAAGACAAGTTCTTGCAAATCTCAACCCTTTGACATTTTCCTTTCTACTCGAATACTATCGAAAGTTTATTTTTCTGGAGTGGATGTCATAAATCCTCTTGCGGCATGATATAATAACAATTTTTTTTTTTTTTTGATTTTTTGAAATAACAAAATTTTCACTGTCGTTAATGAATTGTTAAAATTTATACTATTATAAATTAATAAATATTACCAAATATTCTTTTATCGTTTATTTTAACACCTCAAACTAATATAAATGAATTTTATTATTTGAAACCTCAAGGAAAGTTTTGTTAGTGTATCATAATTTAGGAAGATTAATGTTATTTTCTATTATACTTTTCTTAAAAAACTTAGGCTTTCTATTTCGAAGTCGAAAAGGGATTTATCATTGTTAAAAAATTAATAATTTAATAAATTAATTTAACCTCATGAAGTGGCACATGGGGTTCTCATAAACTTGCCTTTCGGTTTGTCTCTTTCTTTGCTCCAATGAACTTGAGAAAATAAAATATTCAAACAATAATACTAGATATACAAACAAATCTTACAAAGATTTGTATACAAATTAATGTAACATAAAATGAACGGAAGAGTGAATACAAATAATCAAACTCATCATATTCACTCTTCCATTCATTTTGTACCTCATCAGTTTGCACACAAATATATATATATATTCAATAAAACTTCTCTATAGTGATACTCTATGTAGGAATAAACTCTACATAGTTATAAAAAAAAAAATTATAATCCCATTTTAGGATAGTTATAAAAAAGAATAAACTCCACATTTTAAACAGTTATAATTTTTCTAATTTCCGCCTTAAGGAAAGTTGCTTCTGCATAGTAAAATTATTTGTATGTTACAAAAATATGTATTTTATGTTACATTAAATGTTTGAGATGAAATAAAATATTTGTCTAAAGTTGTTTGAGACAATGATTTATACTTTAGAGTTGTTACCACATCTTTTAACTTGCGAGTACGTAATAACTCGCTAGCATAAACATTTTCTTGTTGAAGTTAAAATATTTTTAACTTTTTAAGCATGTTTTGAGCTTCATGGCATGAAACTTTTTGTATTTTCATACTATCATCCTCGGAATTATTTCATTTCTATTCTTATCTAATTGCAGCAATGATTTATTCTTCAGTTAAAGCATACACGATTTGTTGCTCATTTGGATGATTAAGGAAGACATTAATATCCATTTGATTAGTGTAGTGAAGTTGTCGAATCTGATCACTCAATTCTGCAATAACTCTTTTATTCTCCTCATCCACTTCATTTGTAACTTGCAATTCATCGATATTGGGGGTCCTAATTTTGCAGTACTTAAAACCATTGACAATTGTCTGTGGCTTTACATCAATTGGCCATGTATTAACTGCATTTACAGTTTTATCAATGACACTTATCTTTGCTGGTTTCAAGATACAATATTCTATCCGATTTTAAAAGTACGTAATTGAAGCGCTGAATTGAAACCCTAATACTATATTACTAAAACATGAATTATAAAATAAGAAATCAAAACAATAATTTTTGTAACTACACATTCCTTAAATTTATAATCTCCTCATAATAATAAAACTAGTTAGTCTCACTATTATGACTATAGAGAAATTTTATATATATATATATGATTTCATATAAATAGTTTGAAATTAGCTAAATTGTCACCATAAATTCATTAACGAAAAAGTAAAAAGAATTAATAACAATGTTATGGATTTAGATATTATAGTACCTTATACCTTATTCAATATTATCACTTCATAATAATTACTGAGAATAAAAGTGCTGATATTATTGAGAAATCCCACAAAAATTCAATGCTCCACATGAAGCATGCCCTACAGGAATGGCAACTCAAGTATATGCCTCCTCTTTTTTAGGTTATGTGACAAAATTTGTGCACGTGGGCATCACAAAAATGTCAATATAATAGACAAAACAAATAATATATGCAATTTTATTTTATTTTTATATCTTATATATTTTATTTTATTTTATTTTATTTGTGAACAAAGTACATAGATTAATAAGTTAACGTATATCTTTAATAGGCAAATTTATAAAAAAGACAAAAATAAAAAATTTCAATGCATTAATATGATAATTTTTTTATCTGTTTGTGGTCTTAACGTATACCCTCAAATGAATTTATAGAATATTTATAGTATGTGCTTTGAATTTTGAAAATTTATATTCCTAGCATATATCCTAAGTCATGCACTAAAATATGCGAAATATAGCAATAACTAGGCCAAAATCTTATACTCTATTATTGCATTTGTTGGAATATTAATTAATATTTTCCCAACAAATCTTTGAGCAATCTTGGCAAATGGGATGTTTTTATTCATAATCTTGAAGTTTGTCATGAATCAATTGTATAGGTTTTGAAATAAAAAAAGTTTTTATTTAGATATTAAAATTGTATTGAATCCTCCTAAAATTCTAAACAACTCCCTTAGAAGTTACATAAAATCTGTCAAAAGCATTTTAGAGAAACTTCAGTGACTGAAAAAGAACCAATAGATCTTTTTTTTTCAATTTTAGTCAAATATTAAATATCATTTATGCAATAAGTAAGTTTTTAAATATCTAAGAATTATTATTTTTTTAATTTTTTGTATTTTATTATCTTTATAGTGAAACTCCTTTTAGTAAAATAATAATAAAAACACACTTTGCATTTTTCAAATAACATTTTTTGATAAAACTTTTCATTTTATAAATTCTACTTGGAGAAGCATGTATTAAACATATACTGACTCAAATATACAGTTATATTAATAAAAAAATTATTTTACTTGAATAGGGCTTGAAGCAGCGAAAATCTGCTAGATATCGTTCTAACTTTATGAATCAAGTTCAGGAGTGATAATATCGAGTTCACCGAAGAAAATATAGATATTTTTATTATATTATAATCTAAACGTTTGAATCTTGCAAAAATTAAAAGCATTTCAGGACAAGAGTACTTAACTAGAAAAGTAATCTCTAACCAGAAAAAGTCAAAAAAAAAAAAAAAAAAAAAAATTTACATAAGAAAAGATTCAACAGAGTTATATTTTCCTGGGGAGAATGACTCATGTATTATGACTGAAACTAGGGTTTCTTCAGTCTTTTGAAACTGAAAAGAATAAATTTTGCTTTAAAGTTTAAATAATTAAAAGGGTAATTTGGGAATACAAACGGTTTCTTCTAATGAATTAAACCATTAATGATACTACAAAGAATTTTTGTAGGGTTTAAATAACATAAGTCAATATCTTTTCATAATTTTGAATTGATGGGGTCATGTCAGGTCAGGTTGAGGTGCTTTGAAAAGGTTCTGGGCAAAGGTTTTTTTGCCATCTCTTATTTGAGAAGTAATGCAGCTAGTTTGGAGTTTAGCTTTTAAGTAAAAACAGCAAGGATTCTCACTTGCGTAGACGCAAATACATACTCAATCAAATCAAGTGAGGTTTAAACAGAGGTTAGAATATGACACCATCTCTCTTGATAGACCAAAACTCAAACATTAATCATAATCATCCTTCAGTTATTGACAAAGACATTTGATCTTCAATTTGTACATATTTGTACACCACTTTTGCCATTTGTCCTCAAACTTTGCCATATCTTAGTTTGGACCAATAGATTGTGTAGATTAATTAAGCAACAACAAGGTCTCTAGACCGACAAACTAAACCTAGTAGTTTTTTTACCTCTCTTCTTATGGTCAGATGACAAACCCTTTAGCTACTAGAGTTAATTATGTCTAAGAAATCTTGTGTTCAAGACACAGGAGAAGCACCTACTACATTTGTATAATTATCTTGATTCATTGAACTTGTAAGGTGTTCTGTAACCTTAGGGATTATACAAGCTCCAATGTGGGTCTAAATGCCTCAAATACCTAAAAAAAACACCTATTAGTTTTAAGGTCTTGAGATTATATTCTTTTTTATTTGCCACTATTACAACATTGAATGTTGCTTAGATAAAAATCAAATCAGAAGAGAACTCTAATACTTTTATTTATTTGTAGAGTGATGGATAATATGTCTAGGGCTAGCGAAACCGACGCAGTTGGGGCTGGTATTACTCAACTGGCGGTAAGTTGAATATCAAACGGATCAAACACCTACTTATATGACAATGAATTGAGATACAAAGACAAAGGCTGCTGGAATTTTTTCTAGGGCTAACGAGGAAAACCCGTAAGACTCACCATCTTAATTGACAAGATGTCTTAAAGGAAGCTTCATATAAGAAGAATGGCCTGCAAACTTACATAAAAGATTAATTTTGAATGTGTTCTAAAGTTCTAATTCTCGTGTGGTTTAAAGGGAAAATTGTAAAAGAAGTGGGGGGGCAATACAGTGACGGAGTAGATTAAGAAGTTCAGAGTCTCCAGACTAAAAACATACTTAAAAATTATAACTTATGCCAGAAATAAAGAGCATTCTAATAAAAGCGGAGATTTAAAGTTCTAAAAGTATTACTTACATCAACAATGTAATCTTGAATTTAAACTTAAGATGATAAAGGGTACAGATAACACATAACAGCTACTGAATACTGATACACCGTTAATTAGGAAACAAAACAACCTATTTTCCACCACCTAAAAATTGTTATTTCAATTTTATATATTTTTAAAAAAGAATGTTTAGTTGTATAATTATACAACCAATAATTTGATTAATTAATTTAGTTGTTCATTCAACAAGAGAAATTTGTAATTTTTTCAAAAATAGAAGTGAAGGAATACTTCACCAAGCTTCCTTCAACTCTTTCATCTCATCGGATGTGATCTCCCGTCATGGAATTCTCAACAACCACTATACCAGACAAGCCATATTGTTCATCAGTTCGATTGGTAAAGAACAAGAAGATGAATTCAGTTTGAATGAGACTGCTCTTAAACGTTAAAACGAAATAGCATCACATCTCCTTCTTGTACCACATAATCTTTACCCTCAGATCTCAACTGCATTAACCAAACAATAACTTATGTGTATCAATCTTCATAGAGGAAAAAAGAAGCTCTATGTGTGCGCAAAATATATATCTATATAAATATGCAAAGACAGATAAATTGAATTTGCGTTAGCTTTAAAACTATGTCTCTCCAAAATATTTGGGATGATTTAAAAGCTGTGTTCCATTAATATATCACTCTCACAATTCTTTTCAAATATTCTACCATATGTGTTTTGGTTATTTTTAATTTCAGAAGAGATATATTAGACGTGGCCCCCTCTCTGTCTCCTAATTTCTATGTTATTCTGGATTATGCACATTTGCTATTTGTTGGCTGAATAATTTAACTCTCTAACTTTTCCTATCAGTTCTAGTTCTATCAAGCCCTTGTAGCGCTGCAAATTCCAGCATTAGTATCTCTCTGTCATGGCTAAAAAGTTCTCTTCCAAAAAAAAAAAAAAAAAAAAATTAAACCTATAATGATACCATTAACATCAGCTAGACTTAGGACATGTTTGGCTTATTATTATTATCTATATTCCCAATCCTATTCTCCAAATAATATTTGACACATTATTTCAGAAATATTACCCTATTTTTTTAATTACTTTTAAACCCCAAAAGGTTATTAATTTCATTAAATACCTCCTCAAAAAAAAGTTTAAAAATTAACAAAAACACCCCCATGACCCATACTTGCCAGATTCTGACAACCATCATCGGTGGTAGCCGGAATCTGCCACAACGGTGAATTACCGACCGGAACTGGACGGTAATTCACCGATCTGGCCTTTTCCAGACAACGGCCAGATCTGGCCGTCGTTTTGGCCTTTTCCGGTCGTCGACGGCCACGGCAGGCCGTAGATCTGGCCTTTTTCGACCAGATCCACCACGGATCTGGCCGAAAAAGGCCATAATAACGCGTATAACGCGATTTTCCGGCCAGATTCCGACAGTGGTGGCCAGAATCTGGCACTGCAGGTGGTGGGAGTATTTTTGTCATTTTACATGTTGGGGTATTTATTAAATTAGCAAACTTAAGAGGTTTTTTTATAAATTTTTAAATTTTACCTCGTAATACTCCCATATTCAATTATCCAATACTATCCCCAAAGTCCTATCCAAAATAATAAACCAGACGCACCCTTAATTATTAAATATTGAGATATCAAAGCTAAATGTCTCGAGTTCGGATCCACCACATGTCACATATTTACATAGGTCAATTCTGTTTGTAGCTTTTGGGTCAAGTGTACCCAAGTATTAACAGATCAAAATGAAGGCCCATCCAATAATATTGATTACATTTTGAAAATCAAATTTAGTTTCTTAGTTTTGGATATGATTAACAGCAGAGTTTCCTACGTCTCAGTAACCTTTGTTATGAAGTGATTCAGATTTCAGATATAGACCCTTTTGTGGAGGTAATGTTCCAACATCAATATTGGATTTTCTTGCAATTGCAAATGGTAAAAGTTCCTAATAAAAAAACCCATATAGGAAATAAATGCTCATAGTAAAGAAGACTCACAAGTCCTTTTTCTCTCGCAGCTGCAAGAGAACCGGCCGCAACAAAATCATCATAAGCCACCTGATAGAACATAAATATCATGTTATTCACATAATGGAAGTTTATAAATTGTAAGAAGGTTCAACAAACCAAAAAACCTACCATTTTAACTAATATTTGTTATATCTAGATTGTGTGACTTAAGCTAAAGAAAGATACACTATCTAAAGCCACGTTTAAGATGATGCCAAAAGGGCTTTCTTATAACATCTATAGCCAATATCAAAGAATCTAATACATAACATCCAAATACATTTATGATATTATTGCCTTTTATGATTTCGCAGAACATCTTGTAGAAAAAACAATCCACTGCTCCAGGTAAAAAGTAGACATTTATGTAACATAAAACCTTCTTTTTAATACTTGAGCTTGAAGGTGTATAATAATAATGGCAACTTCCAATATTTCAACACCAGAAAATGCCAAAGAAAATCCACATTAAGAAAGATACTAGGTTCGCTCAAATGGCTTTAACATTAAACTTGGCAATATTCCTATCAGACAGGCTTGCAGAAAAGCATGTAAAGAACTAGCAATAACAAAAACAAACCTCTCGACCCAGCAACTTTATCCTCAAGATGCTGTTATTAAAAGGTTTAGTTTGCGTCTTAATTTACATAATTACTTTTGTGAACTTGATTAGATCAAGCAAATAAAGAAGAGAGAGAGAGAGAGAGACAATCAATTTCAAAAAGTGTATTTTGCCGTGCATAAGAATGTATTATGAGGTTTACTTGGTTGGCAAACCCCTACAATAAGAGAAACTTTTGACTCACATACTCAGCCTAGAATAAAAAAGATCCACTATTATCACATATAATTAGAAAAGGAATTTTCCAAAAAATCAAGGGAATATCCCTAGAATCAATGGTTTATTACAGTCACATATAATTAACCGAGGAATTTTCCAAAAAATCAAGGGCATATCCCTAGAAGCAATGGTTTATTACAGTCACATATAATTAACCGAGGAATTTTCCAAAAAATCAAGGGCGTATTCCTAGAATCAATGGTTTATTCCAGTCACATATAATTAGCCTATATTAAGGGTAACGATACTCTAACAAGTTTCGCATCTCTAAACCTCATTTCAATTTTCTCACCAACCAAAATATTTGTAGTTTCAAAATGTAACTGCCCTTTTTACTCTAAATTAATATCAAAATTGTTAAATAGAAAACAGAAAAATCCAATACACTACATAATTAGTTAGTCTATTAGATCTGTATTCCTGTCACCATTTAGAGGCAATACCACAATCCTTTCTCACTTATATTTGGAAGGGTAATTAACAATCAGAACAATATGTCAAACATTATATCTAAAGTGCTTACCGTCTCAGCTCGAATGAAACCTTTTTCAAAGTCAGAGTGAATAACTCCAGCTGCCTGAGGTGCAGTCATTCCTGGATTAACATAGTAGATTTCAGACGAGAATGATCTAAATTTATCAGTATTAAGTAGTACAGTCCATCTTTCCGGCATAGCACCAGATGTCAATACAAAAGAATTTTAAAAAGTAGTTCTAGTTCTAACAAGTTTTGCCCTACAAATCTCCACCAAACAAGTTCTCAGCCAACTAGCTATTCAGTTCATATCAGAGCAACTAAAGTGGACACTAAGGACCTGTTCATTTATGAACTTTCCGTTTTGTTTTCATTTTTTCAAGCTTCAAATTCAATAAATTCATGTTCAGTTACACTTTTTCAAAAATTTTACCCAGAAAAGAGACAAAAGGTTGGAAACAAAAAAAGACCTGGGCCCCATATTTTATATTAAAAATTAATATTTTAAATAAAGAGTTATATATTTTCTTTCCTTTTCTATATTTTTCTCTTCTCTCCCTCAAACCTAAAATTTTCATTTCAAATCAAGATTTTTAATACAAAATTGCAAACGGAAATCAACCATTGACATATTTGAGACAAATTCTTCATGATGAACAAAATAAGTAAACCTTGAAAGAGTTTTATCAGTTAGGGAGATTATTAATTTCGTATTTTTCTTTTTTCTTTTTGTGTGTGTGTGTGTTTTTAAACAAACATGCTGAATACGTTTCATTTTTTGCGTTTTCAAATACATTTTTCAAACATTTTCAATATTTTTCATTTTTTGCTTTTTCCAGTCATTTTCAATATTTTCCAAAAAATAGAAAACAGATACACAAAATTCATAAAAGAACACACCCTAAAGGATAGACCTGCTCTTTTACCCAAATTGTCACAAAACTTTAGAACCAGTAGGATTAAGCTAACCTGCAAGTATTGTCCATGCTTTTGTTTCCTGCAGAAAATGCAAAGCAGTCCTGTTAATAGATTAATTAATATAATGTTGAGAAAAGATAATTAAACATCATATTCCTCACCTTTTCACCAGAAGTAAAGTATGTACGTAGCCCCAAAAGACTATATGTTGCCCTGATAAGGTTCCCAAGACCACTCTCACTGACACCCAGAGATGTCAAATATTCCACTCTTTCTTCAGATGGAAGTTCAGTCAGTTCTGCCTCAACCTGCAAAGAAAATCTTTAGGGATAATTGCCTAGTACAGTAGTTAACAACAGCAACATAAATATCAGCAATACATATTTTAGAACAAAGTCAAAATTCATTTAGCAGAAGATGACATTCATGAACCAAAGTGCATGCGTTCACACACACACACACTAGAAGAGGAGAGAGAGAGAGAGAGAGAGAGAGAGAGAGAGAGAGAGAGAGAAGATAAGATTACACTAAACCTGTGCTGAAACTGTCACTAGCCCAGATTGCAACTCAGATGCAAGATTCCTTACTTCTTTGACATGAGGATTACTTCCTGGCTCAGCAAGATCAGTCTCTGCCACGTTGGCGACGTATATAACAGGTTTCATTGTAAGCAAGCAAAGATGCTTTATAGAATCCCTTTCAAAATCAGTTAAAGAGACAGATCGTGCTGGTTTTCCATCCATAAGTGCCTGCTGAATCCTTTCTAAGGCAGCCTTTTCTGCTTCCTCCTAAAGTGAAGAATGTAGCAACATATTCAAAAGAAAGATAAAACGATATTTTAAGAGTATGAAAATTAGAAAAATGACAATCATGAACCTTCACTTTAGATTGTGAATCTCTTCCCTTCCCTTTTTTGAGCTTCTCCATTCTCTTCTCAATCTGCATTTCTTGTAAGAGATACAATTTAGTTCTATCAGCTTTGCTCATACAGGTATACATCAAACAGGTTAGTATAGAGGTTATTAATGAAGAACTTTGAAGAAAACAAATTCAAAGTCAAAAGGGATGATTAAACTATCACTTAAGGTTTTTCACAACAAGAAAAGCATCAGAAATCAAGGCTCAATAAAAATCTGCAACCCAGCTTGGTTTTAGAAGAAAAAAACAAAATAATTATAGTTCTAAGGTTATATATGAATGGAATATTTATGAAATATCTTCCTATAACATTCTAAATGTAATAGGGTTCACCAATAATATAAACCCTCTTCTTTTAAGTTTCTTATCTAGTCATATAACTCGTGCAATTGACTATTTATCTCTATCTCTCTTTGCTCTGTCTTCTTTATTTACTTTTTAATCAAGTTTACAAGCATACCTGGTCCAAATCCGAGAAAACGAGTTCCAAGTTGATAACATCAATGTCAGACTTGGGATCGATTTTGCCATTCACATGAACAATGTCATTGTCTTCAAAACATCGCACAACCTGAAAGAATAAATAATGGACATATAATAACATATGTGGTGAAGGTGAACGAAAAACTGAAACCGCTACCTTTCACCTATCAAAGGCAAACAGAATTTACTGAACACAATTATCTCTGGAAAGGTAATATTGCAAGTAATTGGCTATCATCTGATTTAACTGGAAATGGTAACTGGAATGAAATAGAAAGATGGAAGAAAACGTGATTGTTCACTGAATAAGATGCGACTTTGTAGCGGAATACAAAATTCTCCATAACTTATAGGTGAATCCTCAAACCCTAATAATTTATAAGCATGCTTAATGCAGCTGGGGAATTCAATTAACTTCAATCTGCAAATTCGAAGAAATATTATATTGCAACTTTATTCATAATCTTTGTCTTCAGATATTGCCACCTTTTCCTCCTCCAAGTTGATTAGGCTTCACCACATGGATATTTGTCTACAATGTTGTTGTTGTTGTCTTCCTTTTTTTTTTTTATAAGACAAGATATAACTTAATTAAAATAAAATAGATATTCAAAGGGTGTACCAGAAGTCCACTAACAATTTGTTGCCATGCACTTATAAAAAAAGCAGTATTAAAATGCTAAGTTTTGCATTTGAAGAGCTTTGAATTAGTTAAGAGAAAGTATTTTAAACCCGTAACAATTAATCGTAAGCATCTGAAATAGCTATGAAAATAGCTAAACAAGAACATCAATCTGAGATTCTGAACAAGGAAAGGCAAACCTGAAGAATGGAATCCACCTCACGAATATGCGATAAAAATTTGTTACCCAACCCCTGGAGCAAAGGAAAATGAGTAAGTACATGAAAGGTAACAGGCAAGAACATGGAAATCACTAGCAGCAAAAATAACTAACACCCTGTCACCTCGCCTTGACTTGCACCCTTCACGAGCCCAGCAATGTCAACAAATTCTATGGATGCTGGGACAGCCCGTTGAGATTTGCTGAGATCAGAAAGTACATGGAGTCTGGGATCTGGAACTGCAACAATGCCTACATTTGGCTCTATTGTGCAAAAAGGAAAATTAGCAGCTTGAGCCTTTCCGTTCTCAACCTACAAAAGTAGACTATCATGAATCAACAGTGGATAACAGCGATGAGAAGTAGGAAAATCAGTCCCCAATCACAATATGTAAATCATTCACCATGCACACAACGAAGTTACTGTGTGTGTGTGTGTGTGTGTATAAGACAACAATATCCTAAAGTGATAGCACAAGGATGGGGGTCATTTTATATGGTGACAATGCATTAGGTTGATACATGTCAAGGTTTACGATAGCAAACCCATGATACAATAATATAAAATTCTTGCCTTCACATTCATCTCACGTTAATAGCTACTCTGTCCCAGATTTAAAGTTGAGACACATGTTTCTTTCTTAAAAAAAATCAAGACAAAAAATTAAAAGTTGAGAGAAGCAAAGTTACAAAAGACAGCTACCATTAGTCCACTAGTATGAAACAGAACAAAAAAATACAACACATCAAAGAAAGAAGAAAACTGGTCCTAATCAGAACCCTCCTATTCCAGAAAAGAGAGCTCCAAACTTATTGCCAAAAACAGTAGAAACCAAAGCTTAATGAAACAATGTATATCATTGTCCCCTTGACTACTTTGACCTCTTCATTTTCTTCACGAATTCTGCAATGTATTTCACCCTATACAACCCATAGTTTGGCTTTGGCCTCTCATCTTACCAAACCATCCAAAATCTATGCCAAAATTACAATACATCAAGAGCACAAAACCAAAATCACCTCAATTCAGGAAAAAATTACTCCATAACCAAATCACAATCCAAATATAAAAGATGCACTGGCTCCCCTCTCTTTTTACCAAGTGCACCTTTAAAGCAAATCAACAGTGTTCAATCTTACATGAGCCAAAGCCAAACTATGATTTAACAAACTCTAACCATTAAATCATTTATAGAATACCATAAGCCATCACTTAAATCAGTTTATACATGAAATTTAGGCCTGTTTAATCACAACAGAATACTAATCTTTTTTTTTTTTTTTTTTTTTTTTTTTTTTTTTTTTTTTATTAATTTTACACTAGTTTAATATTGTATAGTGTATCAGTTTTCTAAATCATATCAACCAAAAGCATTTTCTCTAAATTTCCTCTATCCAAATGTATTTAAATTATACCAAACAGGCCCCTTAAATTTTCTTACTTTAGAACTATTTTCCTTCACTTTCTCAGCAAACCAAATAGACAAAACTGACTTACAACGGCATTAAAGAGAGTAGATTTTCCAACATTAGGAAGACCAACGATTCCAGCTCTCAAACTCATGCTAATCTTGGAAGAAGAAGATGAAAACCTCCTGGTTCTAGTAGTAGAAACCCCAAAAACGCCAATCAAGTTTGCGTTTTGAGTGAAGAGAGACGATTTCATTGAATTCGGAAGCATTGTTAAAGCTGGAATTAGACAATTGCGAGCTGCAACTCTGACCATTTTGTCCTTTTCTTCTTCTTTCTGGTGCTTTGGTTTTATTTCGTTGAATTGTAAGTGTGATGGCCACTGGTTCTGTGTGTAAATGATAATTGATAAACCTTGGGGTTTTAGGTCTTCTCATTACAAGCACTCTATCAGCCCATTCGTTTTCTGCCACGTCAGCAAAAAAACAATATCATTTATTTATTTGCAAAAAAAAATTTTATAAAGGATTTACTTGTCATTTCCCCTTTACTATTTCGAATAATTTGGAAATTAGATGTTACCCAACCGGTAACGTTACCAAGGTTATCCTTCAATATCAGATTTGTTACAAAATACTGTAGTGGTATAAACTTAAACCTTTTAGATAGAAGTCTAGTAATAAATTTCTGGTTGCTTTAGTTTTTGTATCTAGAATTTGAATTCAATATATATATATATTGAGTTTTTATGGGAGGGTTATAAGTGTTAAAACCTTTTTTTTTTTTTTTTTTGTAAAAAAACAAAATCTGAAAATCATTGTTTTAACATTTATGTCTATGTGAGGTTAAATTTTTTAGATAAAATATACACTAAATTATATCAAAAATTAACAATCTTGTTTCTTTAATTAGTATTAGAATAATAACAATTAATAATTATCATTTTTTTTTGAATGTTTTATGACGATGTTATAACTTAATAGAAGTGTAGTTTCAAAAAATATTGTTTTGATTTAATTATTTTTATTGTCTAAGATATAGACATTGATAAAAGAGATAGATATTGATAAAAAAAACTAGTATATATATCTATGTAGTATTGTGAATATACAAAGTCATCTTAAAAGCCTAAAATTTTGCATTTTAAAAGTCTAAAATTTTGCATTCTCTTTAATGTTTTTCTTTCAATGTAAATTTTATAAATACATTGTACTATAATACAACTCATGTAATCTTCAACCAATTTAAGTGATACATTTTCTCCTTCCTCTAGTAAATCAACCATGCCACTCAAAGTTAATATGTGAACTCAATTGGCCAAAAATACTCATGTTGAGTTGTGCAACATGAAAGTTAATACGAATAATTATAACTATGTAGAGGTAAGTTTTTTAAGACGTTTATTGTTGCAAGTGAAAGAAAGAGAAGAAATTGAATTAAAAATATGCCAAAGCTATTGAAAGAGAAAACTGAAATACTACAATGCATTTATTTGGTAAATGACAAGCCTTATATAGGCTTTACAAAGAGATGGTGTGTACTAACAAATAGCACCCACTAAGCCCACTAACCTGCAGATAAAATCACCTAGTAATCGAAAAACTACCACAAACTCTACTAAAACCATCACCCCACCAAAGCCATTAAAGGATGACTTCCTAAAAGCTAGGAATTGACTAAATCAAATACGAAATATTTCTCAACAATCCCTCCCTTAAACTGATAAGTCTACAACTTTCAGTTTAACTACTTTCACCCATGTAAGCCCTCCCTCAAAGTGCAAACAACCAGTAACTTTCTCAACTTCAGGAACGTTGCCAATTTGAGGGGCTTGGTAAAAATATCAGTTGCTTGCTCTTCACTCATGCAGTAAATGACATCTATAATCCCCTCCGTTGTAAGATCTCTCAAGAAATGAAACTTCATATCTATATGTTTGCTTCTTCCATGCAAGATTGGGTTTTTAGAAAGTTTGATTACTGAACTGTTGTCATAGTAAATCGAAGAGGGTCCTTGTTGTGAGAAATAAAGCTCTACAAGAATTTTCCTCAACCATATTGCTTGACAAGCACACACAATTGTAGCTACAAACTCTACTTCTGTGGTTGACAAAGTAACAATTGATTTTCTTTTTTGGAAGACCATGAAATAATTGTTGAACCCAGCCTGAACACATAACCGGAGGTGCTTTTTCTATCATCTAAATCTCCCACAAAGTCACTATCAATAAACCCGATGAGATTTGACTTTTCTCCTTCTTGTATAAAATCACATAATCAATGGTACCTTGCCAATACATGAGAATTCTTTTAGTAGTAAGAAAATGCATTTCTTCTGGATGCTCCATATGCCTGCTAATAAGACTTACAGAAAACATTATATCAGATCTAGTGGCTGTTAAATACATCAAACCACCCACAAATCACTTGTAAAGAGTGATGTCAATATTCTTCCTGCAGGATTTTTCTCCAACTTCAACCCCATTTCAGTAGATGTAGTGACAGAATTGCATTGAACATATTTCTTTTGTGAAATAAAAATTCCAACAGCATATTGTTTCACTTCAATCCCAAGAAAATAATGCATAAAACCAAGATCAGACATGTCAAATTCAGTCATCATTGACTACTGAAATTTATCAAGTAATGCCTGATCATTTCCAGTATAAATCAAATCATCAACATATAAGCAAATTATGACAATCTTCTCATCTTCAACTTTTATATAAAGTGTATGCTCATATGGGCATTTCTTAAAACCTGCCAAATTGAAATAAGCATCAATACGACTATACCAAGCTCTAGGAGCTTGTTTTAGTCCATACAATGCCTTTTTCAATCTGTAAACTTTATGTTCACTTTCACATTTCACATAACTAGGAAATTGATCAATAAATAGCTGCTCTTGTAACTCTCCATGTAAAAAAGTTGATTTCACATCTAACTGCAAAATTGGCCAGGATTCTTGTGCTTCTAATGCCATAACTAATTTGATTGTGTCAAGTCTAGCTAGCCACGAGAGCATACACTTCTTTATAATCACCACCAATTTTTTGCTTGTATCCTTTAGCCACCAAGCGTGCCTTGTGATGAATAATTTTACTTCCTCGCAAGTGCACGAATCGCTATCGGAGTATAGTGTGCAAAAGCAAGGGTCGATCCCACAGAGATTTGTAAGTTATCAAGTACTCCTAATAACTATGCCTTAATTAAACAAATTAATTCAAGCAAATTAAAAAAAAAAAAAAATAGTGATTAAAACTAAATGTAAAAAGAAACTAAAAATTAACTAATAATGACTGAGCCAAAATAACACCAATAAAAACTAATTTAAGAACCAATGAACTACAACCTAGGTATCCAATTTCACCATAATAATCCAATTTTATGCCAGCTATCAAACTATTGTTATCAGCATCCAATTTCTAGGGTTCGTACTCACATAATTAAGATATTACCGTAAGGCGTTCGAGATTAACCTAGTATCCTTAACACAAGACTAGTTAGGGTGTATAGTCTAGCCTAATGATTAAAAATCCATTAAACACACGAGCACTCGAAATCATGAATAAAGGCGCATCTTTCTGGGCGTATGCACAAATACTAATCATTCAAGAAATCATGAACCAATTAGCATTCTGTTAGGGCGTATGCACAAAATACTAATCATTCATTCACACGAGCTATTCAAGATTAGCTAGGATGTGTAGTCTAACCTTGTCTCACACAATCAATTAATTAACATTAAAGGTGATCAAGCAATAACATCAATTAAAGATTGAATAAAGGATAATGAATAAAACTAGAATTGCAATGGATTGATAAGACAAATAGAATTAATAAAGACATAAAACCTTCTTATTAGGCTACACTGGATCCCTAGAAAAGTATTTAGTTACACATGAGCATAAGGAAATCAAACCTCAAAATCTTGAAAACCATGAAGTACAAGAAGAAGAAGAAGAAACCCTAGGTAAGATCTCCTCTCCTTCCTCTTCCTAATTATATTTGATATCATAAACCCTAGCTCCCTAAAATATTGCTAAGGACATCTATTTATAATATTAAAGTCGTGAGGGTATTATGGTAAAAAGTTATACTTCAATTAAAAATGCATAATAACAAATATGCACATCTCCAAGCACTAATGTAACTTTCATCAAATTGGGCCATGATCAAAACATAAAAGTTGTAGCTCTGTCTCTTACCTTTAAAACGCCACCAGAACCAGGTCAATTAGAGTTGTGTAGCTCAAGTTATGATCATTTTCGTGCAGCATGTTCTGGTAGAAAAATTTCCGAACATAAATTTCCCGTATTGCGCCGCGGCATGATTTATTGGCGCTGCGGCATGAAGAGGCTGTCCATTTTGCAATTTTATGCTGTGGCATGGGAATAGTTCTACTGCGGCGAACAATCTTAAAAAATCCATAACTTCTTCGTTTGAGCTCTGATTCTCGAACTGTTTGTTGCTACACGCTTATGATTCTTTCATCTTCAATGTTCATGCTTGAAATCCTTATTTTTCAGCACCTAAACACCTGAAAATTCACAAAAAATACCCGTGATTCTAGAAAACAAAAGAGATTCAGAAATTAAGTAAAATAAACCAATTAAACCTAATTCCCTCACAAAATACCCTGAAAATCACTAAGTATGAGTGCACTTCCAAGCACTCGTCACCTTGTACTTGTCAACTTCACCATTCTCCTTGAATTTGGTTTTGTAAACACATTTGACTCCGATTGACTTTTGCTGTTTTGGAAGATTAGTCATCTCCCAGGTGTTGTTTTTTTCAATAGCTGTAATCTCAGCATCCATCTTATTCTGCCACTTTAAATCCTTACAAGCATCTTCAAATCTTAAAGGATCACAATTAGAAAATAAAGCAACATATGTGAGAGGATCTTCATTTTCAGATTGATCATTTCCACTAACCTCATAATCTACCATCCATGCTAGTTTGTTTCTGGTTCGTTGAGGTCATACATTGCTGCCAACTTGTTGATTTGCTTTAGTTGTTAGTTGTTTTGCTTATTTCTCCTTGTTGTCATCTTCATTTCCAAGATCTGCTGGAATTTGCTCTCTATTTTGATTTTCTCCCCATGGCCAAAATTTTTCTTCATCAAACACCACATCTCAACTAATAATTGCTTTCTTTGTGATGGGATTATACAGCTTGTAAGCTTTTGACTCCTTACTAACACCAAGAAAACACACTTTTCAGCTTTGTCATCTAGCTTTGTTCTTTTTTTATCTAGAACATGAGCATGAGCGATGCATCCGAAAATTCTGAAGTGGTGAACATCTGGTGTCGTCCATTCCAAGCTTCCTCTGGTGTCATGTTTTGAATAGCATGAGTAGGACTTCTATTCAAAACATAAACACT